TATACAGGAGATCCTCAATAATTGTGCTGATGATTTCTGTTGGCATATTGAACAGAGAAGTTATTGCCTGATTTTTTCTTTCCTTTTAATTTTTATAATTTTGACCAACCCTACAGGCTTACATCTGGCAGGCTGAACAACTAATTTGAAGATAACAATATGCAATAACAACACTTGTTGAATTCCTATCATTTTATTTAGTGAAAATCTGTATCATTTCTGGTTTTTCTTTTTTGCTACTTTTTGTATTCTCTTTAAAAACAAAAAAGTGTTTTGATCATATAGTTTAGTTCATTTTCATTTAACTTTTAAATGAGCTATTACTGTCCTTTCCAGTAAAGTCATTTTTGACAGAAATAACTTCTGGAACTTTTCTTTTGTTTCATTAATCAGATGGAAAAAATGGAATTACTATTAAACTTAATTTGAAGCATTTGATAATATGAATGCAAGATTGGCATCACTGAAAAATTCCTCTTGGGTAATGCATTACCAGGCATCATTTTACTCTTTTACATTCACAAAGAAACCTGAAATCACATTAAGCAAAATTAAAATAGATGAACTGAGTTATGAAGCATAAATGTAAAGTCATGTTTCTATAATGTTATGTGAACTAAACTTGGTATCTGCATGTGCTAAATTGTCATTTTGTATCATAAACCTAAAATGCCTAACATAGTTTAAAATGGAAAGAATCATAAAATGGTGGAGATGTGTAAGCGTATTTGTGTTCTCTGGCTTTTGTACTGCCTATATTATTAGTATATTATTACGTCTCTGTTGTATGATAAATATTTATAAACATCTTAAAATGAAACAGATAGTATCAACATCCTTGAGAAATAAAAGTTATGTATTTCTTTTCTTTATAAAATATTGGCTTTTTATACTATTGCTGTCAAAATATTTTAACCCAATATTAAAAACAGTATGAAACAATAAAATAAGCACTTGCCAATTGATAACACAGACTAAGTGGCAGATTGTGCGGCAAGACGATGCAGTAGGGCTGCTGGATTTCCAAGTCAAACACTCCTGCTTCTCATTCCTGTGTTTGCCGGTGGCTCAGTGTAAGGCTGACAGTGTAGCTTCTTGCATTTCCCAGGCTGGACTACCAAGTGGTCAGCATGAGCGCTGATGCTAGTTTCCTCACTCCTTCTCAGCCACCTCTTTAGGAAAAGAGGACAACATTTTAAATTCGAACTTAGGAACAAATCCCTGAAAGAATTCAAGGGTAAGTAGGATTCATCTTCGAGGGTATGGACTTTATGGAAAATTGGCTTCTGTGAGATGTGTTAAACAAAGGATGGAGTGGGAAATGTGCTTCAGCCAGAGAGCACGGACTATTCAAATGCTTGGGCGACCTATAGAGGGGGGTCGAAGGGATAAGGATGCAGGGGACAGCAAGAACCACATCCTGTAAGATTGTGCATGATCTATGGTAAGCAATTTGTGTATGATGAGTGAATGAATGAGAGAGCAGTGCATTTGTTAGCTCTTCAACAGCTCATGAGGACTGGTGAGATAGCTCAGCAGACTAAAGGGACGAGGGTTTAATCCCTGTCACCACATGCCATGCCGGACCAGCCCACAGGCTGGCTGAGCTGGCCACCAAGTCTGGGAGTGGTGGCACATGCCTGCAATCTCAGTGCTGGAGGCTGATAGCAGGAGGATTGCTATGAGTCTGAGCTTTGTAGTGACACCCTGTACCAAATACATAAATTTAAAAACAACAAAATACA